GAAATACCATTCTTTGTGGACTCACTCACACAGGGCATTCACAATGCCCTATGAGCACAGAATTCCAGTAGACCCACAACAGGTGAGAGTTAACCAAGACTCAACACAAGTACCAGGTAAGGATATTATTTCTCTAAATAAGCAAACATACTGGCAGTCCAGAGAGGTCATGCTTTCCACTTGAACCAGAAAAAGGCTTAAGATAGAAAGCAGTTGTATTCTAAGAAACTCAAATGGCCTAAGGAACCCTATCATATAGTTCCCTGGATTAGCCAACCACTTAGGCTAAAAATGATGATAGAAGGCAAGGGTAGGATAACCCATTGTTCCTTCCCCCTGCCTGTTCATAAGAAAGCCTGGTAAAAAGTGTACATATAAAAGTACATGCACAAGAAAAGACAAGACACTGTGGCAAAAAAATGTTCTACATGAAGGATCTCTGTGAGAGAGACCCCAGTGGAAATAAAGAGCCATCAAAGGATATACTTTTCTCTAAAGGGAGGAGAGAAGTTCCACTTTGCTTATGGCCTTGTCCAGATACTGACAGACTTTGTGGACTCAAAAGGCTTCCATAGCCTAGGAAGCTCATGTCTAGAGCCTCAGGTGATCACTGACGTCATATATAAGTGTTAATTGTTAAATCAACAACAAGAGTCACTCCCCATGCAGGACCTCTGTCCTCAATGAGTTGTATTGAGAGTTAACTGTAAAATCAGTTCTCAGTTTTGTGTATGTGTGTGTATGTGTGTGTGTGTGTGTGTGCAAACTGTTGAAATCTTTACAATCCACAATGGCTGGAGCTGGGCTGATCTGAAGCCAGGAGCCAGGAGCTTCTTCCAGGTCTCCCACATGGGTACAGGGCCCAAGGACTTGCGCCATATTCCACTGCTTTCCCAGGCCATAGCAGAGAGCTAGATTGGAAGTGGAGCAGCCGGGACTTGAACCGGTGCCCATATGGGATGCTGGCACTGCAGGCAGCAGCTTTACTCACTGCGCCACAGCGCCAGCCCCAACTTGTACTGATTTTAAACAGCAAATAATAATAAAAAAAAAACCACCATATCAATTCAAGAGACAAAAATCATTAAGAAAGGAAAAAAAATCTCATCTTCTAGAACCTTTAATGATACCTTTTCCCCAATTTTTGAACAGGGAGTAACTCGCTTTCATTTTCTATCTGGACCTGCAAATTATGTAGCTAGCCCTGACCCCATAGTTTTAAAACATGTCCATAGGCACTGAGAAAGCTGGGTTCAGAAGGCCCCATCCCTGGCCTTTTCCAGTGTGATTTCCTATGCCCCTGTCCAAGGGTGGCAACTGAAATCAGTGGATATCATCTGCCTTCCCACCTTGTTTCCATAACAAACCAAAAACTCCCCAATATAGTTCTAAATAAAAAGAAAGATGGAGGCTAATGAAGTGGTAGGAGCTTATCCAAGGTCATGAGGAATGCCACAGAGAGGCACAAGCTACTAGCCCTCAGCTCCCATGCCATGGACTGCTGGCCTCCATCCCACGGTTGGCACTGGAGCCTCAAATGTCATTTGAAAATAGAGAAAGTCATTAAGTATTGCATCCCTTTGATCACACCCCAGCTGGGGCCACCACAGCCCCACAGGAACAGATGTAGGGCAGCAGGCTCTGTCCTTCCCCGGGTTCTGCAATGACCATCCCAAGGCCCCAGGGAGTCATGTGTCTTAACCAAGGTCAGAAAGAGTTGGCAAACAGGCCTCCACATGCTTCCTCTGTAGCTTTGGTAAGGATCACATTCCTGTATCTCCCTGGGGGGATCACAATATCTTTTCCAATTATTGCAACAGAATTACTTGAAATTCTATAGGAACATTTCTTTCCCTGAGTTTCCTGGAAAATGAGATGTGCGAAATCATGTCCAGGGACTATGCACAAATGGGCCAGATTTCTCCCAAACAAAAGGACATCCAAGTTAGAACAGACCACAACCTGGAGTACCTTATAAATTGCCTGTACACCCTTCATGTGGTTCCCTCAAGCCACCCAAAGAGTTTCTTGACTGACATCTCTTAGTGCTTTCTAACTGTTTCCTTGTATTCTTTTGGGCCTTCTGTGCAGAGTACAAGGGTCTGCGGAACCTGGGTTTCCTCCGGAAGCCTCACAACAGCCTCTGTTTGGAGCAGAGAAGCTCTGCGCAGCACAGAGGAATTCTGGTACTTCTGGGCTAATCCATGTTCTTTCTAAGCCCCAGACCTCTCTCCCTAGGCATGGCTCCATGTGGGAGGGCAGATCTTTTGAAGAATTATCTTCCAACTGCTCTTGCCTGGAGCCCATCAGGCTGCTCACCTAGCTCTGTAGCCAGGATGGCAGGGTCAGCTGCCTTTGTGCCAGAATGAACTGGCAGCTGCTGGCCTCCTTCCCCTGAGCAGGGGCCCTCACGGGCAGTGCTGTCCTGTTCAGGAGCAAATGACAGTGAACACATCTTTCCTTCCTTTCCATTCAAGATAACGGTAAACACATGTTTAAAAATGTACACAGCCATTTAAAATAATCTTCACAAAAATATTTTAATGAAGTGCAAACACGCTGCTGGCATAATGCTAAGTGGGGCTAACAGCAAGATGTATGATTGTATATAGAGGGTGACCCCAGCTTGGTAAACAGTTGATATTTACGGACAGGAAAACATGCAGGAAGGAAAGACACCGCAATGGGTCTCTTTAGGTGATGGGATTACAAGTGATTTTGTATTTTGCTCTCTAAATATTCTGGCGTTTTCTTAAAGAAAACACATGCTATAGATTGTGATTACTTTTGAAACCCAACAAGAAAGGACACTTTCCTATTAGCTGGGACTTCTGAGTTAGCAGAAACCAGTTTCACTCACTGCCCAGAAAGAAGCCAGCAGCAGCCTTCTGCTTGTCCCCAGAGTGCCTTCCAGGTGGGACCCCACCTCCCAGCTGCTGGACTTTCTGTTCCCACACAGGATACAGATTTCAGCTCTGCTAATTTTGTTCAGCTTATAATCGTGCATTTCTTTCTTATGTGAACCATAACAACATTGGGAAGTATGCAGTCCTATCAGAGCCGAGAAGCAGGAGATTGGATTTCTTTCTCCTGGTTACCAGGGCTCAGAGGTCCCAAAGGCATTTTTAACCCGAGACTGAGCTCAGGGGGAGAAAGAGGCCCAGAGGACGCTGCCTTTGTATAACAAGGTGTGCCGACTTGCCCTTGGAGGTGGCTGGCTCTGGGACCTTGAGATTTTCCTCTGCAAAGCCGAAGGTGGAAGTCATTGTTTTTATTTTATATACATTATAAAGATGAAAAAGACAATGTACCTAGCATGCCTAAGTGTGCACACAATAAAGCACTAATAAGTGGCGGGCGCTGGACAAAGTAGCAGAGGTGGAAAAACCACTATTGCAACTTTGCATTCACTCACTGCCCAAGTTCTCTCAAGTGTGTGCAGGGTGGGGATGGAAGTGGAGGAGCTGTCCAGACTCAGCCCCGCCCTGACTGGGCTGGCCTGCCCAAGGACACATCTCTGGTTTCAACATGGAAATGTAACCACTTCTGGGGTGGAGGGCAGGCAGCGCTAGCCACTGGCTGGCGGCCAGAGGCAGGGTGAGGGGGAGCCCTAGAGTGCTCACGGCTTATACTGAATACAAGACTCAGATCACTGCATTGGCTCTCCAGAGTGCCTCTTCCTCCACACAGGCCTGCTCTGCCCTTTAACTATTCACTGGGCAGCCGCCAGGATGCCTGAGACTTATGGGAAATACAGGGAATCAATCCATACCTCCTAATGGAATGAAAAACTGTCTTCTGTACTGCCGTGTTTGCTGCCATTATTACCAGTGCTGCCACCAGCACCGCTATTTCTACCATTGACAAGGTGCCTCCCTTGGCCTGAGTTTCACCTGGGTACAGATGATACTGAACATGGCCTTGTGGGAGGGTGCTAGAGACCTCACAGGGAGGGACAGAGTAGAATTATCAGAACTTACATCCCCCAAGGGCCTGGGTACCAGACACATCCGGTGGGTCACGCCCTCCACCCTCCTCTGCTCTAACAGTCCCTGGCAAGTTCAGGCAACTTCAAGCGTTAGGTACTAGCAGAATGGCCTTTTATTCGGTTAGAGCAGCTCAACAATGCCAAAACCCCACCCAGTGGGGTGGGAGAAGATGAGAGGGTGCTTTTCAAACACACGACCACTCTTCCTTTTTGAAAGACTCTAAATTTTCCTGTGTCCAAGTTAAAAAAAAAATGTAGGCCAGACTTTGGCACTCATTCTCAACGTGAACTCTGGAATGCACACCTTAGCCTAACAGAAGGGTCCCCCTCTCTCCCACTCCAAGCCTCAGGTGGGACCCAGGGCAGGCAGGAGGGCAGGAATGCGGCAGAGCTCAAGCCCGTCAGCCAACGGCAACCAGGAGCCCCAGCAGAGCTGAGAGAGAAGGGGCATTTTGGAATCCATTTTGCTCAAGATGCTGAAGTCATTGTGGCAAACTCCGGTTTGTTACTGGGACGGAAGAACTTGGGTTAGGGCCTTACTCACGGGATGTGGTTAGTTGGGGGTGGCAGGGGCCACTCTGGTATCAATGATATCTTGGGAGAGCAGACAGGTGCACTGGCTGTCCTTAGGACCCGCCCGCAGCCCAACGCCTGGCGAGGGGTGGGTGGTGGGGCCCACCCTAGGCACTGTTCCTGCATTTTGGACCAGGTCTGCTGGCGGGCGGGACCAGCAGCTGTCGTCGTCAGACCAGCTGAGTCCCTTCTCTGTCCAGTCATTTGTAAGTGAGATTTACGATACATGCAAGGGAAAGGGGCGCCATCGGAAGGCAGAATGCGGAAAGTCACACTTTTCCCGAAGCGTCCCCCTCCCAGGCTGACCTCCCCAGAGCGGTGCGGTCGCAGCCGCGGCGTCTGCACCGCGGGTGCGCCGCAGTGGTCCGGCGGGACGCGCAGGACCGAGTCCCGGCGCTGGGCGGGCGGAGCGCAGGCGGCGGGGCGCGGCGAGACTCACCTGCCAGGCTGTTGTAGCAGTCCACCTCGATGGCCTCCACCGTCTTGCTCTGCTCGTCCGACAGGCGGCCGAGCTTGGGGGTCCCGGCCGGGGAGGCCGTGCGCGAGTCCCGCTCCCTTTCCCCGGGGGGCGGCAGCAGCCCCTTCAGCTCCAGCAATGCCCGGTGGTATTTGCCGATGGCTTCGCGGAATTTCTTGTCCTTGTAGCACTGCGCCCCTTGGCTCTTGAACTCGTGCGCGCGCCGGATGAGCTCTGCGGACTCGGCCGCCGCCCCAGCCTGGCCCCGCGCTGGGGCCCCGCCGCCGCCCGGGGCGCAAAGCGGTGGCGGGGGCCGCTGCCCCTCTCCGGCCGCGGGCGGGCTCGGGTTCCCCTTGGCCCCGGCTGCCGAACCCTTCCTCTCCATCCGGCCGCCGCCCGGGCGTTCCGCGCGTGTCGAGATCCGCCCGCCGCTACCGCCGCGCCCTCTGGGGTTTAAAAGCGGCGGGCGCCGGTTCCGCGCCTGGCAGGCTCGGCCGCGGCCGTGATACCCCGCGGCGGCCGGTGGCCCCGCACTCCCATTCTCCTCGCCAGCTGCCGGAGGCTGCTCTCTGCTCCTCCCGCTGCTCCGATCGCCCGCCCCGGCTCGCCTCCCTCCCCCACTCGCGCGCTGCCCGCCCTCCTCCCCGCCCGCCACCTGCCCGCCGCGGCAGCCCGGCCCTCGCGCGCCCAGGGGCTCTCGGTGCCGGGGGACCGCGGGCCCGACTGGGGTGGCGGCGATTGTCGCTGACCCGGAAGAAGCTTGGCTCGCCGAGGGGGTGGGGGAGGATTAATGACAAAGGCGGCCCCGCTCTTTCCCATTCAATTCAGTTCTCGGAGACGCGCCTGGTCTGAAAGAGCCTAATGGGGGAAGGGGCGTGTGCGTGCGTGGGTGGGAATGGGGGTGAGGGCGGTGGCGAGGCAGGGCGTGCAGACTCGCTCTCGATGGATTTTTGGAACGCTCACAAACAAGGTGCGGCGAGCACACGGGGCGTGGGCACAACCCCTAGCTCCCCCTTCTTTGCAGCAAGGCAGTACTATTTTTAAGGGGGGCAGGGCCTCCTTTTCATGGACGCAGGTGGTCGCTGAGGTGTATTTGGGTGTGTGGCTTCCGAAGCGCCCAGAACATGGACGTGCTCTGCCCTTCGCCGTGGGGCGTCGTGTACCAGGAGCCTATATGTGCTTACTGTGAGGGGTGTGTATGTGTGTGCACACGCACGCGCGCACAGCTGTGCACAATGAATCACAGATATCAGAGATGGAAAACACCTGTTCCTTTCGGTCATCAGGCTTGGCGTGCATAGGGTTCTGGTTTCCATTTACAGGATAGTTCGTGCCCTTGGCCAGCAGGCATCATTCCTTCATTCATTCTTTGAGTCCACCCTGAGTGGCAGCTGTCTGTTGAGGATTTGCTAAGGCCAAGAGGCAGAGATGAGCAAGTCACCCCTGTACCCCTAAGAGATTGACCATCAACACAATCCATGATATAGAGTCAAGGCACCAGGTAGAGACTGGGAGGGTCAGAAACGGCCGTGGAGCCCTGGGGCGGGGGTGGGGAGGGCCGTTTTGGAGGATCCCAGGCATAACAGAAAATAGCAGTTGAAGGCCTTGAAGGAAAGGTAGGATTTGGGCAGGAGGAAATGGAAGGAACCGAAATCCGGCAGGGGTCCTGATGTTTAGTGCATAGAAGATTGCTTTTGAGGCCCAAATAGAAGGTGTGGGAAATGATAGGGTTGCATTACACAGGCTGTTGGATGGAGAGTAAAGATTTGACTTTGGAGGCAACCAAGAACACTGGCATTTCTTGTGCCCCACCCCCCATGCTAAGAAAAAAAAAATGCTCTAAAGCAGCAGTTGTCCAAGTATGGTTTCCAGACCTGCAGCATCAGCATTGCCTGGGAAACTGTTCAAAATGCAAATTCTCAAGTCCGACGTAGACCTACTAAATTGGAAACTCTGGAGATTGGTACTGGCAGCCCGTACTTCCACAAGCCCTCACTTGGTACAGATGTGCTGCTGCCACACCTTGCTTATTCAAATGGTGGCACTTGCTCTGGTAGCATCACTCAGGCCTCCTGGATATGCGGGACCTGCAAAATCCCAAATCTATTGATCCAGAAAATTCATTTTAGCAAGACTACCAGGTGATTTGTATGCCTCCTCAAGTGGGATTTTGGAAAATACAGAGCGGTATAAAGAAGAAAGCCCTAACCCTATACTGATACCAAGATACAGTCTTTGTTAATATTTTAATGTAATTCCTATCTTCTGTATTGCATCTTTATTTGTACAGAGTGCTTTTTAAAAAAAATTATTGATTGATCTGAAAGAGTTACAGAAAGGTTGAGACAGAGAAAGAGAGAGAGAGAGAGAGGTCGTCCATCCACTGGTTCACTCCCCAAAAAGGCACAATGGCCAGGGCTGAACCAAGGCGAAGCCAAGGGCTTCTTCCAGGTCTCCCACGTGGGTGCAGGAGTCCAAGGACTTGGACCATCCTCCACTGCTTTCCCACGCACATTAGCAGGGATCAGGATTGGAAATGGAGCAGCTGGGACTTGAACCAGTGCCCATATGGAATGCTGGTGCTGCAGGCAGTGGCTTTTACCCACTATGCCACAGTGCCTGCCTCCAGAGTACTGTTTTAACCAACATGAGTGGTATGGGACAATATTTGTATACACATTTTGTTTCCTGTTCTTTGCATTTTCCATTATATGTGATTAAATATTATTTTAAGGACTCATTTTAATGGCTATGTATATTCCATCATATGCTAATAATAAAATCAGACAGATTTTATTGTAAATAGTACTGAGATAATAGAGATAATAGATACCACTTATATATAGTGCTTACTCTGTGCCAGGCATTGAGCTAAATACTTCACATATAATAATTCCTTTAATGCTCATAGCAACTGCTGAAATAAGGGCTGGGTAATATCCCTATTTTGAACACTAAGTCAACTAAGATTTCATTGCCAGTAAACAGTGGAACTAGGGTTTATTTATTTATTTTTAATTTGACAGGAAGAGTTATAGATAGTGAGAGAGAGAGACAGAGAGAAAGGTCTTCATTCCATTGTTTCACACCCCAAATGGCCGTAACGGCCAGCACTGCACCGATCCGAAGCCAGGATCCAGGTGCTTCTTCTTGGTCTCCCATGCGGGTGCAGGGGCCCAAGCACCTGGGCCATCCTCCACTGCCCTCCCAGGCCACAGCAGAGAGCTGGACTGGAAGAGGGGCAACCAGGACTAGAACCCGGCGCCCATATGGGATGCCGGTGCCACAGGCGGAGGATTAACCAAGTGAATCACAGCGCCAGCCCCAATTATTCTTTAAAAATTTGTTAAAAATATTTTTGAGAGCCGGAGAGTGCTTCCATCCGTTGATTTACTTCACTAAATGCTCCCGCCAACTAAGGAACTCAATCCAGGTCTCCAGGTCTCCTGCATGAGTGGCAAGAATCCTACCACTTGAGCTGTCACCACTGTCTCCAGGTTCTGCATTGACAGGAAGCTGGAGTCAGGAGCCGGGGCCAGGAGTTGAACTCAGGCACTCTGATGTGGGACACAGGCATCTTTTTTTTTTTTTTTTTTTTAGATTTATTTATTTATTTATTTGAAAGTCAGAGTTACACAGAGAGAGAAGGAGAGGTAGAGAGATATAGAGGTCCTCCATTTGCTGGTTCACTCCCCTATTGGCAGCAACGGCCAGAGCTGTGCTGATCCGAAGCCAGGAGCTTCCTCTGGGTCTTCCCATGTAGGTGCAGGGGCCCAAGGATCTGGGGCATCTTCCACTGCTTTCCCAGGCCACAGCAGAGAGCTGGATCAGAAGAGGAGCAGCCGGGACTTGAACTGGCGCCCATATAAGATGCCGGCACCGCAGGTAGCGGCTTTTCCTGCTACACCATAGCGTGCGCCCCAGGACGGAGGCATTTTAACTGCTAGCTTAAATGCCCACTGCAGATCTGTGCTTCAAATCTAAGTTATCTTCAGAATCTATCTTCTTCATTCTCTTTACACTTGTTTCTAACCCCAATTTTTTTTCCTTATGTAAAATTATTGTTTCAATTTTTAGGAAAGACTTGAAACATATTGTCAGTTTGGTTCACAGAAAGGTTGTACTAGCTGTGGTCTCACCAACAACGTACTGGTTCCACAGCATCCAAAATCAAGGGTGAACTTCAAAAAAATATTTTCTGATTTCATAAATAAAACATAGATATCAAATTAACTGGGATTTCTTTAATTATCAGGATGAACATTTCTCATATGTGTAGTTGCTGTTGATATATGAAGGACTTTTAGTTGAACACAATTTGAATAAAGTACACCTGTGTTTTAAAGTGGTTCCTTTTTTTAAATTTTTTGACAGGCAGAGTGGACAGTGAGAGAGAGAGACAGAGAGAAAGGTCTTCCTTTTGCCGTTGATTTACCCTCCAGTGGCCGCCGCGGCCGGCGCGCTGCGGCCGGCGCACTGCGCTGATCCGATGGCAGGAGCCAGGTACTTCTCCTGGTCTCCCATGGGGTGCAGGGCCCAAGCACTTGGGCCATCCTCCACTGCACTCCCTGGCCACAGCAGAGAGCTGGCCTGGAAGAGGGGCAACTGGGACAGAATCCGGTGCCCCGACCGGGACTAGAACCCGGTGTGCCGGCGCCGCAAGGCGGAGGATTAGCCTAGTGAGCTGTGGCACCGGCCAAAGTAGTTCCCTTTTCTCAGGGCTTTTTTTTTTTTTTTTTAAGATTTATTTATTTATTTGAAAGGCAGAGTTACAGAGAGGCAGAGACAGAGAGAGGCAGAGGCAGAGAGAGAGGTCTTCCATACACTGGTTCACTCTCCAATTGGCCACAAGGGTCGGAGCTGCAGCAATCCTAAGCCGGGAGCCAGGAGCTTCTTCTGGGTCTCCCACACAGGTGCAGAGGCCTAAGCACTTGGGCCATCTTCTGCTTTCCCAGGCCACAGCAGAGAGCGGGATCAGAAGTGGGGCAGCTGGGTCTTGAACTGGCACCCATGTGGGATGCTGGCACTTCAGGCCATGCATTAACCCGCTGTGCCATAGCGCTGGTTGGGCCATCTTCTACTGCTTTTCCAGGCCATAGCAGAGAGCTGGATCAGAAGAGGAGCAGCTGGGACTGCAGGCAGCGTCTGTACCCGCTCTGCCACAGCCCCCGCCCCTCTAAGGGCTTTAACATCTTGGATCTCATTTGAACTTCATGTTAGCAGCAGAGAGAGCAAGTGATTCTCTCATCACAAAGGGCGTTTACAGGGGTCTCTAACAAGACATCGTGTTAGTGCAGTTGTTCAGGGGCTGTGGGCTCAGATGGGCATGGGCTGGAAGTCTAATTGTGCTACTTCTTAGGCAAGTTGCTCAACTTCAGAAAACTCAGATTCCCTCATTCATTAACTGAGGTTACTACTTTCTTCATGGAGCTGTTGTAAAACACATTGTAACTGCTCAACAGATGGCAATTTTAATTATTACTCATTAAATTCTGTCATTATGGGATCCCATGACACTGTTGTGGCAGAATTCCAGATAATACACAAATACACGCCAGCTCCTGGTCCCCTTTACTCTATGATATTCTATCAGGTAGATCACAGGGAACAAATTGGGGTTGGGAGCCACTGCATACTGCCTCTCAGGTAGGAAGGGCTCCAGGGGCAAATACTGGCCAGAGAGCCAGGCCTAGGATCTGGCGACTATCAGAAGTCAGACACGATTTGGGTCACGTGGTTGCAATCATTTAAAGGTGAGAAGTATGAATGTGCCCACATTGCTCTTTGTTTTCCTACCGTGTCCTGGCTTAATGGTACAGTGTCTCAATCTTAGATTTGGGGTTTGAGGGTACGGCTGCGTGAAACATGTGGCCCACTTAAACACTACCCTGTGGAGGAAGCGAAACTCAATCCAAAGGCATAGAGCTAGCTCTGATAAAAGAGAGCTTAAATGGGGCAAAGAGGGAATGTTATGGGCGGAGAGATAGATTGAGACGAGACTTTTACTCTGCCCATCTGTCCTGCTCAGCAGAGCTATGTGTAATGTCTGGAATTGTTTTGTCTGCTTGTTTGTAGTACACTTCTGTCTATCGAAGGCACTCATCAGTAAGTGCGTTCTGGCTTCTCAGAAGAGGCCTCCTCCCTTCGAATGGAATTAAATAGGTGCCAACAAGCATTCATTAACTGTTGACCATATGCAGAGCATTATTTTAGGAAGTGAGCAAAGATTCAAATGACAAAAAATTTGAGAGTCAATTTAGGAATCAGAGACTCAGTGCATCTCAAACATTAACCTGTGTATGATCAATTCTGTTAATCTAGGTGGGGCCCAAGTTTCTGCTTTTCTAACAAGCTCCCCAGCAATGCTGATCCTGTTGGCCCATTCTTTTTTCAATTAAATATTTATTTATTTTAATTTCATTTGAAAGGCAGAGAGACACAGAAAGAGAGAGAGATTTCACCTTTTGGTTCATTCCCCAAATGTCTGCAACAGCCAGGGCTGGGCCAGACTGAGGCCAGGAGCTGGGTCTCCCACTTGAGTGGCAGGGATCCAAGTAGTTGAGCCATTACTGTTGCCTCCCAGAGTGCATTGGCAGGAAGCTGGGTTGGAAGCAGAGGAGCAGGTCTTGAACCAGGCACTCTCATAAGGAACGTAGGTGTCCTCAATGGTGACTTAACCACTGTGCCAAACGCCTGTCCCCGCCATGGCCCGAGTTTCAAAGGTCAAGTGTTAGAGGAAAGGGAGGCCCCACATCTCCCATTCTCTCCTAGTTTTCACGTTTTCCCAGAGAGGAGTTGTTGAGTAGATCAGTCATATTCCAGGAAATTCACTGATTCACATTTAACAAGAGCAGAGTGATGATCCTCCAATCAGCTTCCTCTCCTACTTCGTGTTGCAGGAATAGGTGAACGGATCAGGGCCTTCTGTTGGAATCTGGCCATCCTTCCTCAGGTTTCTCTTCCTCAGGTGCATAGCAAGTGTACCTTTTCTTACTTGGATTTCTTGTCTGATGTGGTAGAACAGTGGGCAGGAAGATTTTAGTGTGTCATGGGGAGGGAGAGGTGCTTGTGGGCCTTTTGTGTAGATCCTTCCTCTAATTTTTTTCTTTTGGTATCTTTTCTGGAGGGGAGGGAGTTGTGAGGGTTTGAGAGGTAGAAAGACAGAAACAGAGCTCCTATCTGCTGGTTCACCCCGAGATGTCCAGGTTGAGCCAGTGCTGAAGCTAGGAGCCAGGAACAAAATCCAGGTCTCCCAAGTGGGAACCAGGGACCCAAATACTGAGCCATCATGCTGCCTTTTAGGGTATGCTTTAGCAGGAAGCTGGAGTCAGAAGCCAGAACTGGACATGGAGCCCAATGTGGGATGCTAGGCTAAACACTGGCTCCCAAATTTTGTTTTAAAAAGAGCTTCACACTAAGAAATCGGGCATTTATTCAGGTGGTTGTACTATTTTGATTTCTCACCTGAACGTCACAGGGAAGAAGGATGAACAAGCTGCAGCAGGTCTCTAGTCTTCTCAGTCCCTTGGCCCAGTGTCATCAAAACCTCTCCATTCCTCATAGGCCAGCCCTGAGCACGCATCAGTGAGTCCATGCATGGAATAGCTCTTTACTGCTGAGATACGCTGGAAGATTTCTTAGAGAAGATGTGTGTGGCACTGTTTTGAAGGAAGGGACTTTGCGTGCCAAACAGCTGAAAGCACAGTGTTCTGCTGGCTTTTACGAGCCCCAGACGCTGTCTGCCTTGGTCTTGATATTCTTTATGCAGCTTAGAGTCTCTGACCTCTTCACTGCCCATGATCTTAGAAGACTGAAGCTCTCTTCCTTTGCACACTCACTCTTGGATCTTGCATACCTTCCAGGCAGATGGCTTGTTCTGCCTTGTCTCTTCCTGTAGCTCGATTTCTTAAGCATATGTAAGACATGTATTTGAATCTCCTTTATACCAATCTAAGCTTTTCAGGGTCTGGCCACCTGCCAACAAAAGCAAAGCTATTTTGGAGATGTGTTTCTAATTGCATCGAACTCCACAATTTACCTGAGAAAATCCCAGCACTTTCCATCATCAGTCTCTAATCCATATTCAATTTTGAAATATTCCTTTATGGAAAATTGAGATATTTTATTTTATTTATTTATTTAAAGATTTATTTATTTATTTGAAAGAGTTACACAGAGAGAGAAAGAGAGGCAGAGAGAGAAAGAGAGAGAGAGAGAGAGATCTTCCATCCACTGGTTCACTCCCCAGATGGCTACAATGGCCAGAACTGTACTGATTTGAAGCCAGGAGCCAGGAGCTTCTTGCCGGTCTCCCACGTGGGTGCAGGGCCCCAAGGACTTGGGCCATCTTCTACTGCTTTCCCAGGCCATAGCAGACAGCTGGAGAAGAAATGGAGCATCCAGGACTTGATCCAGCG